GTACAAGTTTACAGTTATCTTTTTGCCTTTCATCACCGCAAGCGCACCATTGAACACCTTCATGATTCTTTTTCGTGTTTCAATCTTGCTCGCATTATTATCCAATAATCCATAGGATAATAAATTTTTCTTTAGGCCTTTCACGTGCCGCACATCTCGAACAACTTTGATTGTTCCATCATACATCTTCAATTTGATGGTTCCCACGCCAACGATCTCTAAGGCTTGATCATTGCAACTATACACAGATCCTCCTGAGACAGATTCATAATGATGGAACCATTCTCTTATTGAGGTCATGTGATATGCAGCTCCTGAATCAATGAGCCATATATCTACAAATCGTTTTCTACCTTCCATGGTAGTTGACGCTTCACAACATAGAGCATCTCCATCATCTGAAGTGTTTACAGTATTTCTTTGTGGATTGGAGTTTTTATTTAGACTCCAACAATCCTTCTTCAAGTGACCATTCTTTCCACAGTTGTAGCACTTTAAATTCTTCTTGCTTCTCGACTTTGATCTACCGTGTTTGTGATTACTGCTTTGGCCACATTCTGTTGATCTTCCTCTCATCGTTGTCAATGCTTCTGCTTGTTGCGGATTTACTTGTATGTCTTCCTTGTTCTTGCGCGGATTTTCTTTTTGTAGAACCGAAGCTGCAATGTCATCGAAGACTAGACTGGTGACATTATTGTTTGTCAAGTTGATGATGAGTTGATCATATGAATCAGGTAGACTTTGAAGTAGAAGTTATACACGTTCTTATTCTCCTATTGTACATCTTAAATATGTAAGCTGAGAAAATAAAGTGTTCAGTGTATTTAAGTGCTCCGTCACTGAAGTAGATTCTGGCATCTGGAGAGTATACAATTTCCTCTTAAGAAAAAATTTATTATGCAACGATGTGACCTCGTAGAGTTTGGTGAGAAGATCTCATATCTCCTTAGCTGTCTTCTTCTCCTCGATGCTTGACAATACTTCATCTACTAATACTAGATGAAAGTTTGTCATAGCATTTCCGTCCATTTCGATCTATTTGTTATCATCTGTGAAATCTACCGATATTTCATTGATAGTTGCTAGACAACTATCTTTCCTCAGGATGACATTCATCTTCAATTTCCACAATGAGAAATTTCTCCCATTGAATTTTTCAATATCAAATTCTGTTGCCATAGCTTCTATTACGGATAGCTCCCACTATTTCACTATCGTGAATAGTTCTCTGGGACCTTCAAAGAATGGGTAATACCTTCTTACTTTCTTATGTTGGAGGATCCACCTTTTGGTGGCAATCACAAAGACAATAAGTAGATATTACACACTCAAATCTAGCTCTGATACCAATTGTTACAGAAGACGGCTATCGGATAGAGCAAAATCGTAACTAATAATTTAAGAAAATAAGAATAAAGATAAATAAGACACAAATTTTACGTGGAAAACCCCTAAATAATATAGGGTAAGAACCACGGGCAAAGGTAGAAGAATTTCACTATGAGAAAATAGGAATTACAACTTCTCTCGATCTACCAAGGAGAAAACAATGATAATTCTCTCTTGATAAAAGGGAGGAAACAACTCTCAAGAAACTGTCTAAATTCTCTAGTATTGGGAGAAAGCTAGAATGATTTGGGATGGTTTTGAAGCTAAATGGGTTAGGATATTTATAGTTGAAGCTTAAGGACTAATTTTGTAAATACCCTAAAGTACAATGAGTAAATTGAGTAATTTACCCTTGCACATTTTCAACAATTACAACCCCTTTTTGACTTATTATTTTCGGTGGATTTAATTCTACCTATCGGTGGATTTTAATTTTCAACATTGCGAGCATTAGAACCAGATGAAGGCCATCCATGGGTCATCAGGGGAGATCTGAATGTAATTGCAAACAGTGCAGAAAGACAAGGGGGTTCCCTTAGGCGGATTGAAAGATGCTCGTTTTTCAATCAGTTTATGTTTGATGATGGTTTGATTGATACGAGTTTCTCTAGTTAGAGGTTCACGTGGAGTAGGGGTTCTTTATTTTAGAGGTTGGATAGGTGTATTTGTAACAGTTATTGGCTTAATTGGTTTAGTGAAGCAGAGGTTTATCATATACAGAAGATAGGTTCGGATCATGACCGCTGCTCCTAGACCTTGGTGGAGACAAAAAGGAGGCTATTGATAGACCTTTCCAGTACATTGATGCCTAGTCTGAGCATCCAGATTTCTAAAATTTATTGAGTAGAGTGTGGAAAGTTGATAGGAGTATCTTGGATGACATCTCAAATTTCCAATGTAAGAGCAGGCAGTGGAACAAAGAGGTTAAGCGCAAGAACGTTTTGATGGCTAGAATTAAGAAAGTGAAAGAGGCTAATGATCCCTTTCTTTTGGAATTAGAGGAGGCTCTCAAGAAAGAATTAAGTGTGGTACTCAAACAGGAGAAGACACTTTGACATCAGAAATCTCGCTGTACATGAATTTCCAAAGGGGATAGGAATACCTCATTCTTCCATGCATCCACTTTGATTCGGCGTAAGAAAAATCAGATTGTGAAGTTACGGATTGAGGATGGGTCTTGGTGTAATGATTTTGCTCGTCTCAAAGAGCACGTCGTGGAATTTTATCTCAAACTTTTCACCAGTTAGCGAAGTCCATCTATGGTTCTGGAGCATTCAAGTCGGTTCTTCCGATTCGAAGAGGAGGAGTTGAGGCCTTTGCTGAAAGAGGTGCCGTTGAGGAGGTCAGGGATGTGATTTTTAGTATGGCACCGTTAAAGGCCCCTAGTGAGGACAGGCTTCATGCGGCTTTCGTTCAAAAAAATTGGGATTTGGTGGGAGAGTCGGTGTTCCAGTTTGTCGCCAAGTTCTTTGATGACGGTATCATGGATGCCCGTGTTAACCAGACTATTATTACTCTTATTTCGAAGGTGACCAGTCCCTCATCTCTTAGCCAGTTTTGTTCAATCAGTTTATGCAATGTCTTGTACAAGACGATCACGAAACTCATAGTGTGCCAATTGAAACATTTCCTCTCCAGTTGGGTTGGTCAAAATCAAGCTAGCATTGTTTCTAGTCGGTAGATTACAGAACATTATTTTGGCTCAAGAGGCGATTCGTTCCATGACAATCAAGATTGGTAGGAAAGGGTGGATGGCAATTAAGGTTGATTTAGAAAAGGCCTACGACAGTTAGGAGTGAAATTATATTAAGGATACTTTAATTGCTATTGGTTTGTCGAGTTCAGGAGACTCATTATGGAATGTGTTTGTACTGCGTCCTCGCGGATTCTGTGGAATGGAGAATTAACTAAATCTTTCAGACCATCTAGAGGCATAAGATAAGGCGATATGTTATCGCCGTATTTATTTGTTCTTTGTATGGAGAGGCTTTCGCAGATGATAGAATGCACAATTGCCTCGTTTAGTTGGTCTACTATACACTTTTCGAGGAACGGGCCAGGATTATTGCACCTTTTCTTTGCTGATAATCTGGTTCTGTTTGCGGAGGCGAGTATTCATCATTGTGAGATTATTAAAGAGACATTAGATAGCTTTTGTCGAGAGTCGGGACATCGTGTTAGCGAAGCTAAAACCCAGATTTTCTTCTCTAAGAATTACGCACGTGGCATGATAGGTGGCATCATTCGAGAGGCAGACTATCGGGTATGGGCACGACAAAGTGTTCCTCAGCAACCATACAGTCTATTAGAGGTATACGTATGCCAGTATACGTATACTCGTATGCATGCAGTTGGTTGTTAGTATGCAATTAATTGCTAAAACAGAAACAGTTAGAAGTTTGTTAGCTATTAGTTAGGCTGTTAGCTTGTGTAAGTTAGCAGTAACCCTTTGCAAAGCAGTGTATAAATAAGCTTGTAATGTACAGCCTGTATTTACTCTTGATTCAATGAATATACATGTGTTCAACTAAACTTCAGTATCTCATTATGGTATCAATCGCCATCGGTTCTGGGTAATCTTCAAGAATTTCTTTCCACTGCTCACGATATTCTTGATAGCTTGATCCTACCATGGATCTTCAGCCTGGATGTGCGAAGAATTTCTCAAACAAGAAGGTCAACATCGTCCTCGATGAGACCAATTTCCTATTGTGGAAGCAACAGATTCTACTAACAATCAGGAGTCACCGCCTTGAACGGTTATTAACTGGAGCCCTGCTGCCTCCACCAGAGACTGTGCGTGGCGAGGATGGCGAGGAACGTGTCAATGAAAGCTTTGAAGAATTTGTTGCACAGGACAGTGCTGTTGCTTCTTGGCTGCTCTCAACCATTAGCCCACATCTTCTTCCTCAGTTCGTGGGAGCATAAACTGCTGCAGTAGTTTGGCATACTGTCTTGCAATTCTTTGCAAATAGATCCACAACAGCGTTGATGAACCTCCATTACAAGCTACACTCGCTAAAGAAAGGTGATGATAGCATGTGCACTTACCTTACACGAGTGAAAGAGGTGTGTGACGCTCTTGCCTCCTGTGGAAGTGCCATCTCTCACGTTGAACACATAGTGACGATTTTGAAAGGGTTATCACGCGAATACCAGCCATTTATGGCTATTATCACCACCATGAAAGAAACGTTGTCTCTAGATAGCATTTACACCATGCTAATGAGATACTGAAGTTTAGTTGAACACATGTATATTCATTGAATCAAGAGTAAATACAGGCTATACATTACAAGCTTATTTATACACTGCTTTGCAAAGGGTTACTACTAACTTACACAAGCTAACAGCCTAACTAATAGCTAACAAACTTTTAACTGTTTCTGTTTTAGCAATTAACTGCATGCTAACAACCAACAGCATGCATACGAGTATACGTATACGGGCATACGTATACCTCTAATATTCCCCTTGCATCTTCGCCTTCCTCCCTTCATCGCAGGACAACATAGTCAGAGTAGCCTCCGTATGTAGTAGTTCCATCATAGTGTTTAACCGAATAAGTGAGTACCATTTTGGGACAGAAGTTCTCGAGATCGACTTTGCAGTTATGGCAGGAACGGAAGGAATAGACCATGCACCCGACGCCAACTCGGTCTCCGACTTTGAACCTTACTTTCCACCTCAGTCACTTCACCAACAATCTCATGCTGCTTAACAACACCAAAGAATGGATCGTTCAGATCTAATCTATATATAAGATGAAACCAATGGGGATGAATACGATACGTACCCGGGAACAAAAGGGTAAAGAGAATTGCTCCATTCATTCTTGACCATATGAATATCACTATGGCGCATCCCACAGTAAAGTACTTTGAAAGCCACATCTTTCTCCCCAGTTGCCCTGCAAATCCAAACGCCACGACAGTTTGTTTGAAAGGAAGATCAACTCAACATGATGCAAATCGACATCATTGGTTTAAAAATACTAGAAACCTACTGGAAAACTTGAAAGGAGAAAGAACACCAGAACTGTCTTTGGCTGCCCATCCGAAAGCCTTCTTGGGGCGCTGTTCTTCTGGCGACTTAGCCATTCTTGATGGTTTGACTTGACCCCTTCAATTTACTAAGTTTTCCACTGCAAAATGAGATGTAATATGGAGTTGGCTTATTTGTAGCGTGTACATTCCACAGGCATTGCTTACATAGCGGTTGATCTAAATCTCTACCCCACCTAAAACTCCAAACTTATTTCCATTATAACACTGAAAATTGGGTCAATAACTGAATATATAACAAACTTTTCATTTAATTCTTTTAAATATTTTACGGTAAAACATGTAATGGGAAATTTACAGGAAAAAAACATGAATCCGTTGAATGCCACTTTTTGGTTGGGCCGTTAAATAATCATGGAAAGCTTATTGGGTATGAAAAATAACGAACAGAGTTTGGTTTATCTAGAAAGAGGTCCAAAGATAAGGACTGGTATTATTAAGTTACCCAGGTCCACCAAAATCATCAGAGAATAAACTAGCTTTTCTAATTTAGAAAATTATATTTTTATGTAAATAACCTCAGGTTGAACCCACTCTTTTCTAGTTAATTTTCTGTATAGTCAATCCAAATTGATTTATATGAATACTTTAACTTTGGAAATTAATTCTTAAAATAATCTCTTTAATGTTTATTTCTTAAATTATATTTTTTACGAATTTTATTCTAATTAAAATCAAATTTCATATAATTTTTTTATAATTTTGCCTGATAGAATATTGAAAAATGTAATTAAAATTACTTGGATCTCGAAGTGTCAAGCCTCGAGACTCGTGAATTTATGAGAGCGACTTAACGGCTTCACCAGCAAATAAATACGAAATGACGGAACAACCCACAAGAGATAGAGAAGGCTGATCCGTACAACTGGGAGAATATTTACAGCTACGGTGCAGTTCAGTATACCACCCCACATTAGGACATTACCAAATCTTTATTTTCCATCTTTTACCTTTTAATTAAGTACATGGTTTATTTAACAGTATTATAAAATGTAAGGTAAATTACGCATTTATATTTAAACTATCAATTTTAATTCGTATTAGCATTTAAATTTAAATTTTTTTAAAAAACCATGCCTATTATTTAAATTTTATTTTATTTTAATATCTTGCGATGTATTTTTATGGATAAATTATATCATTCATCACTCGACTATCTTCTCTCTCTTATTTTAGTATTAAAGTTTAAAAATATTCATTTTAACTATTTAACTTTCAATTTCTCCTATTTTAATTACTCTAATTTATTTTATTAATTATTTTGTGACATGACATTTTTATATTATTGTTTTATTAATATATAATTAAAAATAAAAAATAAATTTAAAATTTAGATTGATTAAATTAGGAATAATTTGAAAGCTAAGCAGTTAAATTAAAAAAAAATATTTAAGACCAAAATAAGAGTTAGAAAATAGTTGAGTGGTGAATAATGCAATTTACGCATAAAAATGTGTCATGTGCAAATCACCTGTTAAGTTTTTAACGGCAATGTATCAAAAAAAATAAATGTTAAGTATGATTTTAAAAAAATTGAAAGTTTAAGTACTAAAATAGAGCAAAACTAATAATTTAAATACTAATCACGTAATTTACCCTAAAATGTAATTCTTTTTTAAGTATTAAATGTTCCTTGGACCCCTCGGTTCATATGTTTCTTTAAGATGAGATTTGATTCCGACTTAACATTTAACACGGTGCACTGTAGCTTTAGTATTGCTTGATTGTTAATTGATTGCTACTCTACTTATTATCCAATCATCCATGACGTGCAAGTTTCAACCTGGGGTGAACGTTCCACAGGAAATACATAACTCTGAAATCATATTTTAAGTCACACGTAAAAAGAAATTATAATTCACATATTTATATCGTTATATCAAATTTAGTACGTAAAAGAATTTAGGGTAAACTATACCGATATTCTCTTATATTTTCGGTCTGATAGACTTTGGTTACCGATAAAAAAATTAAGAGGAAACAATCACCGATTAGACCGATAACAAAAGGGATTATCGGTATAGTTTACTTAATAATATATTAAATGACATTAACAATTAAAGAGAATATCATGATTTTTTTAAAATTTAAATTCAAACAATTGTATAGATATGATATGTGTATATTATTTGTGGTTAAAAAGAATTTAGAAAATATATTATCCTATAATTATTTTAAAAAAAATTGAGGAGAGAAGTGGTTTTTTGTTATGGGTGTGGATCTGGTTTGGGTCTCACGGGAATTGAGCCATAGGTGATAGGCCTCCCCTGTTGGAGGGACAATCACGTGTTCCTGTGGGTCTGTATGGTTGATGCAAATACGGATGAATGTGCAGCCAACTGTTTCTATCTGAAATAGTTAATTTTGGTTACGGCACTCCATGTTTCTTCTCATCCATGCATTAAGCCTTTTTAACGTCTTTGCTCTTAATTTGGTCGGTTCCTATTTCTATATGCCACTTCTACAAATCCATATATCATCAAATTACTCTTCAACCCACCCCTTTTATATTCATTTACTTCATCTGGGTTCTAATGCCACATTTGAGTAGATTTTAAATTTTATTATTCAAGTTTTATGTTAAATAAATGGTTAATTACACGGATGATTATTTATGTTTGTGTTTTGTCTATTTTTGATCATTTAGTTAAAAAAAACATAAGATATTATCACTTTCGTTTTTATTTAATTAAGATGTAATCACCTGAGTTAACTGTTATTAATAGAAGTTGGATATTTTAATATAATAACACATTTGGTCCTTAGTATTTATATATTCTCTCAATTTATTACTACTTTCAATAGATTAAAATAAATTTAATTATACAATCGAATGATGTCACGGGTCACTATTATGTTAGAGGACTAACTTTATTTAAATTTAATATATTTATTTTCACTAATCAAAAAGTGACACATGTCACCCTCCGGTGAAAAGAAGACAAAGGAAAGAAAATTGGGACAAAAAAGATTTAAACTTTCGCCACTTAGGAAACTAAACATGTATTCAACCATTAAGCCAATATCATTGTTTGGTCTAAAGTAAACAACATTGTGTATATATTTGTATCTTAGTGTATAAATACTTAAATTCATAATATTTTCTATATATTAACTTAAAAAAATATTTTTTATATTAACTTATTAAATTTAATTTAAAAATATTTTTTCTAATTTTCATCTTAAAATATATATATTATGTTAAAATTTATTTAAAAGTATGATTAAATTGAGAGAATATGAAAATATCATAGACCAAATATGTGATTATACCAACTATCACGTCACATATTCTGTTAATTGTTAATAACAATTAACTCGTGATGACCGCATCTTAATTAAAAAAAAAGAAAGTGAATATATTTTTTAATTAAATAAAAACGAAAGTGAGCATACCAAAAGTAGACAAAACACAAATATAAATGATCATCCTTGTAGTTAATCCTTAAATAAATTATGCAGTGGCGGAGCCACAGCTTGGTCAGGGTGGGCCCATTATGAAATCCAAATTTTATTCGACTAATTACTTATTTTGTTGATGGTGTTCATCTTGGATTTTTTGTGCCCACCTGGAAATCTAAGTTTTCTTCTATTAGTTACTTATTTAACGGACGGTGTCAACCTGAAATTATATTTGTATCCATTGTATGTGTACCCACCCTAAAAATATTTCTGGGTCCGCCATTGAAATTATTATTGTTTTTTCAAATTATAATAATTAATTTTATTAAACAAAAAATACAATAGAGTTTATAATATTAAGGACAAAATATTATAAAATGTTATATTAAACTAATCATATCAATTAATCATCTTAGAATCATTAAAGAGCAAAAATAGTACATTATTATTACAAGGCAAGGGAATTAGACTGCTGCGAAGCTGCAGTGGGGAGGCAGCAATGAGAGCACCCCCTGCCTGCACCCCCTGCCTGCTACAGTTACTGTGCGTTTTCCAATCTAACTCAATCCTTCTGTTACAACTACATCTATGTACTCTATTTTATTAGGTATCAATTTTAATACCACATTTTATGTTTTTATTCTTATTTGAAAATATAAATATAGATATAACGTTAGCGATTTTTTCGATATATCACCGTTGAATAATATATTTTTCGATCAGGCATCGGTCAAATTATATTTCTCGATCTAACACCCTTTACAGAAAGGTGTGGCGCCTGCAATGCGCTTTACGCTGATTTGACGTCAGGTGGGTAAGGCGCGCCCCGCGCGCTTTATGCTGACATGGTATACACATGTGTACAGGGGTCGCGCCTTACCCCAGAATCTGTCACGCGTTAGTAAGGAGCACCCCCTGCGGCTCGCCTTGGGTATAATTACCCACCTACCCCGACATTTCACACCACAATCCCTCCCTATAAATACTCCTATCCTCAATCATTTTCATCGCACCAAATTCTCATAACTTCTCTCAAATACTCTTATAATTTTTGTCTAAGGTATATTTTATTATATTTTTAATATTTTGTATTTAATTTATTTAAGTATTTAATTTATTTAATATTTTATTTAATTATTATTTTTGCAAATATAAAATGGAAGACGGTCTACTTCGCTTGGATGAAAATCATATATCTCGACACTTTGCTAATACGGTAATATTTTAACGTTTTAATTTAATTTAAATTATTTGTAATTATTTGTTGATTTATTTAATGCATGATTATTAGATTAAGAATTAACTTTTTGTAATTATTTAATTTTAGGAGAAGGACCGTGTATTAGATCCATTTATTAGGAATCTTAAGTTAGAGATACCTAGCCGTGTCTTGCTGTATTTAGTAGAGGTTGGATTCGGTTACATAGGTAGATATCAGGGTCACTGTAAGATAGATCCAGACCTTATTTCTGCCTTAGTAGAGCGGTGGAGGTCGGAGACTCGCACATTCCATCTTCCGTGCGGAGAGTGCACGATTACACTTGAGGATGTTGCTATGCACCTGGGGCTTCCGATGGATGGAGATGTGATATTGTGGATTGCGTAGGGTTCCTGGACTGCTTTTTGTCGGGATAATCTAGGACGTGTCCCAGAAAGTTTTAACGGTGGTCGGATACCGTTAAATTGGTTAGATGCCAATTTTCGGGAGTTGAGCGAGGACGCGTTAGATGATGAAGTTAAAATGTATGCACGGGCATGCATACTGCAGCTGATAGGATGGTTGTTGATGCCGGACAAATCACACAACCAAGTTCACTGTATGTGGTTGCGACATCTTGTCGACTTTCGTTTGGCCGGATCACTCAGTTGGGGCTCGACAGTTTTGGCTTTATTGTACAGGGAAATGTGTCGAGCCACTGACTACATGAGAAATGCTATCGGTGGATGTCTCCTCCTGTTGCAGTCTTGGGCATGGTATTGATTGCCCTTTTTATGTCTCGTTGTGAAGAACACATTCGTATTTCCGCTACTCTTGAGGTAATTATAAAACGGATTTCGTATATTAATCATTTTATATATCGTATAATAATTTTTTTTCTTGAAAATGTGGTCTACTGATAGGAAAAATCATCAGGAGCTACCTGAAGATTTAGAAAAAAAAATTAGGGTGCTCATCGATCAGAAGGTTGACACACATGTATGAATTTAAATGTTTAAAAATTGATTTTAGATTATAGTTATATAAGTAGATTATTATTTTGATAAAAATTATATATATTTGTTTTAGTTTGAATGGGTGTCATATTCTAATGATGATGTGAGGACGGTGATCCCACCTAAGTTGAGGGGCCCATCAGATGTTTGGATGGTGATGGTCCCTTTGATATGTTATGCGACCGTCGAGTGGCACTCCACTGATCGCGTGCTCCGGCAATTTGATTGTTTTCAACCAATTCCGGAAGCATCTCGCAATATGAACGACTTGCATGCCACAGATAGACGCAGCAAAACAGATACAGATTGGCTGGTGAGGAATCATAAGTGGGTCGTGTTGTGGGAGAATCGACATCGGCGCCTTCCCCGTAGAGAGCCTATTTATGTTGATGACTTGACGGTTGATAATGATTATTATGAGTGGTTCAACAGAAACGGGAAATCGTTTCTGCTTCCAGAGGATGCACGAGGGCGGACCTTTCCACGACGTCGACAGAGACATTCCACAACACAGCACCATCGTCCCCCGACTCATGGACGGAGAGCAGGTGCTTCCGGTTCATCATCAACTTCACCAGCAGGACCTTCATAGCAACCACCGTCTGCAGCGACTTACATACCGCAACCATATGTGATGTTGTCACTGCCTTTTCATTACCAGATGTCACCGCTGCCGCCTTCACCTGGTTTTATGACCCCGGCGCCACCTTCACAGAGTTTTATGACCCCTCCTGAAGGCTATTATGGGTCTATGTTTGCATATCCGACTTGGAGTTCATATGCTGTATATTTGGCGGGTTCAGCCTCATCACCCATTCCGCAACACATACACCTCCTGTACAGTTTTCACACTCAGCGATGTCTGGGTTTTATGAGTTTTCCCAGTTTTCTCAGGCCGGTGGGATAGTCAGTAATACACCTCCAGGGTCTTTATTCTATGGAGGTGTTTCATCGTCATCAGCTCCTCATCAACAAAATTTAGCTGCTCAGGACGACGACGACGACGATAATGGTGATGACAGCGAGGAGTCACAACCAGTGATACGAAGAAATCTTCCTCGAGTCCGACAGCCACCGTCCTGCGGAACACATTCGCGTCGCAGACATCGATAGATTTTGTTTTTTTATTATATTTGTATTTAATACTTTTTATTGTAGTTGTTTATTGAACTTTTTTATTGTGATTTTTATTATTATTTATCATTTAATACTTACTTTAATTCGTTAATATGGTTGGATTTATTTTAATTTATTTTGATAAATTTGTTGGACTTTTTGTTAATTTATTTTGCTTAATTTTGTTTATTATCATTTAATATTAGTTATTGTAATTTGATTATCATTTATCATTTAATATTTATTGTATCGTTAATATCAGTTATTTGTTAATATAACGCCAACGTCCAATCTCATATAACCCCTACCCTGCGCTATACTCGTAGGTGGCCTAAGGCACGCCCCCGGGGCCGCGCTTTACACACGTGTATACCATGTCAGCATAAGGTGCGCTGCAGGGGCGCGCCTTACCCCACATGGTGTCAAATCAGCGTAAAACATGTTACAAAAACCACGCCTTTTTATAAAAGATATTAAATCAAAAAATATAATCTAAACGATATCTGATTAAAAAATATACTATTTAAAGGTGATATATCGAGAAAATAGCCTATAACGCAGTACTTATGATCGTGATTTTGTTATTATAAACTGCCTTTGTTCTGTCAGGCAGCATGCTCTGGTATCAGCTTTTTTCACTTGCAATTATTAACCTGCTCCTGCAACAACTGTAAAAATCTATGTTATATATTTGGGGATGGTACAACTGAATGCGGTTGCATATACCCTTTCCTCTATTTCTATATCTATTTAATATTTTTATATTTATCAACTATTTATCTATCTATTACTTAAGTTAAGTAAAACTTTTAAATTCATATTTACCTACATAGATGTATTTTAAAATTCACTCTCACACCTATTATCTAATTGAATATCCACGACTCATCCTGTATTGATTTGTACCTACCTATAAATGTTTATACCTATCTGACAACAATCTCACAAGTAACAAAATGTAAAATAAACATATCTATTAAGAAACATAATAAAATAAACTAAATATTAATTAAATTTATATCCTAACATTTGGTTAAATTACAAGTCACGTACTATAAAATCTTAAGATTTTATAGAATAGTCTTTGAAATTATATCTAAATTCATAATATTCTAATATTTATATGATAAGTAATTAGTGGATGGACAAATACAAAATGCAAAAAATCTTAAACCTATCACTTACGACCTCCCATGAGAAATACAATACGGAATCTACAAAATTATATATGTTTACCATCCCTATATATATTCTATCATATTCACATATCAGCAGACTTACTTTCATGAATGTCAACTTGCATCTCCCGTACATATTCATAGTGCATGGTATAATACTAAATTGCGATTATGATCGCGTTGGATTGCAATAGTAATATCACATTTGTAAATATAACATATATTATATAATTTACTTTTTTTAAAAAAAATTATAATTTTATATACATATATAATCATAGTTAGAGGTGAGTGTTCAATCGAGTCGAGTTAAAAATTTTAAATTATTCAAGTTGACGAGTCATATTTTATAATTCAGAGCTGACTTGAACTTTTTCGAATCGAGTCGAGTCAAATCTTTGAGTTTCTATTTAAATTTAATTATAAATATTTTCAATATTATGTCATTATTTGATTTCAATTTAAACGGTATTTTATAATCATACACAATACATATATATTTTTTCATATATAATTTACATATACCCTACAAAGTCGAGGGAGGAATCGACTCAAACTTAAAAATCAGTCTACTAATTACTAAAAATTTCGAGTTATTTGAAATGTATTTTACAACTCGATTTAAACTTAAAATTTTGTCGAGTCGAGTTTATGAAATTACAAATCGAAGTTAATTCACGTTGAGTCGAGTTTTACTCAACTCTAATCATAATGAACTTTAAAAATATTATAATATGACTATTGCACGACATTACGGCCCTAATTTAATATTATCAACCACTCATGAATTTTTATATATGTTTGTATTTGATTATTATAATATCTGAAAAATCGCTGTTAATTAATTGTAGCTGACACTTATTTCAAACCAAGCCTCTATTGTCATACCTTTTACTTCATTTATTAATATTTCCACATATCCCTATTAAATATGCATGTTTAATTTCATCTGAATTTTACTAGCAATTACATGCTTGATAAAAGTTTTCACTTTTTTCACCTGAAAATTTTACATGGTTTATGCTCGAGAACATTGTGTTATCAAGTGTAAATTAAGAGAGAAAAATTACCTTGATGCATTAACTTTTTTCACCTCACTTGTACTTTATTATGTTTATGTTACTTATATAAGCATTAAATTTGTCCTTATTTTAATTTCGCAAGTGGATTAACATAAAACTTAAATTAATGATTAATTAATTTATTAGAACATGTTGTTTTTCAAATTAATATTTAAAGATAACTATTTTTAATCATTTATTAAAAATAATATATTTTAATATCATACAAATGAAAACATGATATATCAAATGCACTTTTAAAAGGTACGTTGTATCAATCTTAACACGAATACTACTATTAAAATATAGTCATTAAACATTTGAAGGCAATACCACACATGCGCATTATCATCTCTTCACTTGGGTTTATATCAAAACATATTTTCAATACATAATGACGGACGCAAGATTTTATATTAGAGGGGACGAACTTGTACTTTTAAAATTTTAAAATTTTAGATGAGTGAATTTAAATTTTTGAAATTTCAGAAGAGGCAAAAATATATTTTTAATAGAAAATACATAAAAAAAATTTAAAATATATAATAATTTTAAAATTTCATAGAGCGATTACCCTACCTACTCTCGCTCAATCCATCCTTAGCAATTCATATTATATATGTTTCTTCTTTATAAATGAAATTTATTTAACTTTTTCTTTCTTTACTTTTCTATTTTATTATTAATAATCTGTCTATTGTTTAAAATTTTAAAGTTTCCAGCAAGGCACCTTTTCAAACAATAGATAGAATATAAATAATGAGAGAGAAAATCTAATCATGTGTATTTTCTTAGTACTTTAATAGAAGTATTATTATACTAAATAATAAGAGATAAATATAATTTTAATATTAAATTCTCGAAATGATATATTTATCATTATAATGCAGTAAAATACATTTTTATATCTCCGAATTTTGTTACATGGGTCGTCTATGCCCTGCCAGAATCAGCTTTCAGATGATATGCTTTTGTTTGTCCACTTGTTATTCAGGTGAGACCTGGTTTGTTCCTATTCATTTCTCTGTTGTCTTTGATCAAACTCTTTATTTATTCCAATATCCACCAGATCTAAACCTCAAACAGAAAAAACCCTGCTTATTAAAAGAATTTCATAACCCCCAAAACCTTCTTTGATTATTATCACAGGACCCCATCTCTATCCCTTTCTTTATCATCTTTCCCATGCATGAGTTCAATCAATTGACCACCTTTGCCTTTGCCAAAGGAAACTGAAAAAGGAAAGAAAATAAGAACCCTAGAAACAAACAAGCTCACCGTATCAATTTTCTTCTTCTGATTTCCATGATGTCTAATGATAATCCCGGTGTAAAACCGGCTACCAAGGAAGAAAACCAAAGCAGTGGCAACAAGAAAACCGGTTCAACAAGGCAGCCACAAGACCAGCAAGCGGCGCTAAAGTGTCCACGGTGCGACTCTCCCAACACCAAATTCTGCTACTACAACAACTACAGCCTCAGCCAACCCAGGCATTTTTGCAAGACCTGTAGGAGGTACTGGACCAAAGGTGGGGCTCTGCGTAACGTGCCGATAGGCGGTGGTTGCCGCAAGAACAAGAAGCTAAAATCGTCTTCCAGGCTCTCTGGTGACTCAAAGGACTCGTCTTCAGAGATGGGTGGATTGAAATTCTTTCGTGGCCTTACTCCTGCCATGGATTTTCGGCTCGGTGGGTTGTCGTTTCCTAAGCTTAATCCCTCACCGCTTGTTGGTATTTACAACCAGTTTGTTTCATTTGGAGATACTACTAGTAGCCCTTCTTTCAGCCTCGATCCAGCTGCAGGTAGCTCTACCTCTTTTATGGGTTTTAACAATTATCCATTGTCTCCGCTTACCAGTGGCCTCAGTGGCGCAATTCAGGAGATGGGTTCGTTGAATGTTAGTAGTGGACTTGCTTCTTCAATTGAGTCTTTAAGTTCCATAAACCAAGATTTACATTGGAAGTTACAGCAACAAAGATTGGCTATGCTTTTCGGTGGAGAGAACCAAAAGGAAAACAACACCAATGTTTCTTCAGTTCCAGTTGAGATGAGCCAAGCACTAAGGATTCAACCCATTTTGTTCCAGAATCTGGAGATCTCGAAGCCTGAAATACCAGCAGCCGGGAATCAAAGGAAAGGCACCAGCAATGAAACCGCCACGGAATGGTTCTTTGGGAATTCTTACGCACCAGTAACTCCCACTCCAACCACTAGCAGCAACGGCAATGATAACACCACAACAAGCAACTGGAATGGAATTCAAGCATGGAATGATTTGTATCATTACAGCACGTTGCCCTAAAAAGGTATATATGGGAAAAGAGAAAAAAAGGGAAATAATAGTAATATTTCTAAATCACCCATTTTTAGTTTATTGTCTGTTTAAAATGTTCTATTATTGAGTTAATATATGATCAACATGTAAACATTGGAAAAAAATGTTTTCTTTTTCTTTTTCATTTTAATAAGTTGCTTGGCATTACTGATCACTTCATAACTCAAGCTTTTGATGAGTATGCTAGACATATGTATTTGTTTTGTCTTGCATGTTTCTAGAAAAGATTGCATATGCATAAGCCAGCAGCTGAAATATAGATGAAAGTGAAAGCGATAGTTGGCTCTACCGTATGTATACATATATAAACTTCATATACCGTCGGGTTTGAAGACAATGGGATCTGTGACGGGAAACATTGTCACTGTCTATTTAAATGTGGATATTTGAGGGCAGATCTTTGATTTTGTTTTATGTCGAGTCAGTGACTGTCTCAGTGTGTTTCAATCTCTGCCTGTCCGGGAACTGAAGATTGTCATCGTATGTGTATATATATGAAAGTAACACGACGGCCGTAGGAGTAGCTGCTTTGGCATCGCATAGGCATAGGCGCCATCAGCAGTGTTGCAAAGTTTTCTTTTCATTGTGTTGGGTAATAATTAGTTGCAGTGCGGTGTGATTTCGTGGTGTCTGAAAAAGTGGTGGTTTGAAAGTTGTTCAGTTGAGACTTGAGAGAGAAAAAGAGAGTGTCGGGTAGGGCTGCAATCTTTTTCATTTTTATCTTTTGTTTATTGGGGGGTGAGCCATCTTTTCCCTGCCAATTGCTACTCATCAGCAATATTGTCACATTGTGATTCTGCTTGCTTTCCCCCTTAATTAAGTTGCCTTTACCTCACTTTTTCGGGGTTTTCCCACTTATACTTAACTTTTCATAAGTACATCGGAATCTGAAGTTTTATAAAGAAAACATGTTTATCTATGAGTTTTCATGGTACATGCAATGCTTGTTATAAATGCATTCTCATCATTATGATTTTAATATTGAGCCTTAATAGACGAGTAGAAAGATTTTCAATTTGTATATACAAAGTTTGATTCATAATTTATTTATTTTGATTAATCTAAGATTATTACAAGATAATATATTCAACGATAATTCTGAACCATTTAATATTAAATGCTCATATTCTTAATATTCCTTATGCTGAAACACATGACTTTAAAAAATAATAATAATTTTTTTTATTATCGAAATCGCTTAGTCAATGACATAATTTATTGCTACCGTATGAAAATAATTTTGAGAATATTTTTATCATATATAGAGCAAGTTAGCCCTGATTGCACGCGCCATGCAGATACTTTTTATTTTATGTATTTGTTGTTTTTATGTACAATTTTCATATATGAATTAAAAAATTATTATTTGAAATATTAATAAAGGCATGTGAAGGTAAATCAAGATCACTGCTAGAAGAAACATTCATAATCATATATATATATATATATATATATATATATATATATATATATATATATATATATATATATATTAGGGTATAAATAAACAGTGTTTGATGAATTTTTCGTGAACCGTTCATATAACGTTCATTTATGTACGTTTGTTAAGTTAAATAAACGAGTATGAAGAAAAATATTATATTCATTTAATAAAATAACGAACACAAACAGAGGTGTTTTATTTTTTTATATTTTAAATAATGCTAAAGGTAGTGGATAAATTAAACACATGATAAAAAATTAATTTTAAACTGTGAAATTTAAAGAATTTAAGTACTAGTGATGTAATTTTACCATTTTCATTAGCTTGAAAGGGTAAAACTAAAAATTAAATACATAAACGAACACTAAACTAACATTAAACGAATATATTTGTGAACGTTAAATGAACACTCACGTACATGTTTGCGAACATATAAACCAATACGTTCGTGAATATATAAATGAGCATGTCTGTGAACATATAAATGAGCATGTTCAGAAACAATAAAAAAACATGTTCAAAATTAAATAAACAAACAGAAACATGATATTAAAAATTTAAACTAACATGAAACGAACATTAATACCTTAAAAAATAAACAAACGAATGAAACTCATAGCTTTAACATAGTGTAACTGCTCTTTTTAGTCGATAGATTTCAAAAATATAAAACTTTTAACTAGATAGATTTCTTTTTAAAAATAATGTTAAGCTTTTTAAAGGAATGAAGGGTAGCGCACTTTCTTTATCATTCCAAGCCTTTAAATAATTAATGAAACTCATAGCTTTAACATTCTCCTCTCTAGTGCAACAACGATTGTCGAATCCTCCAACCCCTATTTCTGTTTAACAAATTCACTATCGTTGGCTAAGTAATTGCATTTGCTTAAATTTTAGTGCTTAATCAGAAAGGAAAAAAGCCACCATCTTGTCTGAATTTTGTTCTACCATTGTTTTAAATCTTTTGGGCCACATCACTTCAGAAAGCTGTATGTGTAATTGTAGCTGCCGACCCTTCGGCCTTCCACTCTCTTATCTGTGATCTGTCTTTTCTTAACTTTTTAACATTGCATGTGCAAAACTTTATAGGCTAATGTTTAGCCTAAACAAGGCCATGATTTCCTCCCCAGAGACGTCTTTTGCCTTTTTAGCATCGTGTTCCTGCTTCCCCCTACCAGTGCGTGTATTTTTCCTCGATCATTTACCCATTTGTTTTATTCTCTTCTGATTTCCCTCTTGAGGTTTGATTTCTCTATTATCGTAATTGACTGTGTCAGTATTTGTTAAGTTTTAACTAAATAAACACATACATAACTAATGAAAAGAAAAACAACTTTTGTTAGAGACAAATTTACAAAGTATATACTAAGAATTAGTAGCAGTAGTAGTAGAATTATTTACTAAAAGAGGGTACATGTGGTCTCATAAAGGGTCAAATGTATACTCATTATTTTAAATCAGTTAGAAATTATAGTTCAATATATTAAAGGATGATTTTTTTTTGCATACCAATCATGTTGAAAAAATAATAAAATTTTTGGACCCATTTATAATTTTCTGGATTCACTACTGTTTTATCATTTATAAAATTTACAGTAAAATGAATTTAACATTTAAAATAGCACAAGCATGTAAGTGCAAAGAAAGGTTGGAAAAATTACCATAACGATGGTTTTTTTTACTTAATGCAACCAGGAGACGGGAGATGTAAATTTATACATGGTAATTGGTAGGTATTTAAACATTGAATGAAATAACATTATTAAACAAGTTTAAATATTTACAGAGTGTTGCATTAACTAATTTACTCATAACCAATAAAAAATAAATGTTAATAATTTAGAGTAGAAATATTTAGTAATAATTTAACTGTCCAGACATTGAAGACACGTAATGCGTTTAACTGTTCATACTGAGAAATTCATCTACTGTCCAGACATTGATGACACGTAATGCATTGAACTGTCCATACTGAGAAATTCATCTATTTTTTAAGTTGAATTCATACCTCTTTTCTGCATGCAAATAAAGAATACATAATTATTTAAAAATTATTTTGAAATTAATAAATTTTATTGATAGGACTATGAATATCAAAAAAATTTAACCCGACTTGATTCTGGGCTCTGTATATATTAAGCGCTCACCCTTCACGATTATTTCCGACAATTTTCACTCCAAAAATAATTAGAAGAAATGGTGGTTCCCGGTTCTTTGATTCGACCAAACCAATTCCCTCTTCCATTTCTCAAACCCACAAGACCAAACCTTCGTTGCAAAAAAAACATGTTACTATTTTTTCTCTACCATAAACATAATACATGCACTTTACATGTTCTGTTGTCTGTTTTCCTCTTCATATTTTTTTTAATGTTTAAACGTCTCTGGTTTTGGTGTGGGGCTCAATTTTTATCATTTTATGTTGGTGATTTCATGTCTGAAATGGTGGTTTTGCTTGTTGCGTGTGTGTTTTTCCAGTTCTGTCCGAAAGCATCAACTGGAAACAGGGAAGACGATGAGGGATGTAAAATGAGTACAAGGGAAGAAAACGGCTTCTGGAAGATCGATTTCTCCGGGGAAAAACCGGAACGCCATTGTTGGACACCATCAATTACCCTCTTCATATGAAGAACTTATCTACAAGGGTTAAAATAAAACTAAAAACTCCATAATCATCATGCCCTTCAGTCCCTGTTTTTTGATGTACTTAATGTTTAGGAACTAGAACAACTGGCGGCTGAGATTCGAGCCGATATCGTGCACACAGTATCGAAGATCGGAGGGCATCTGAGTTCAAGCTTGGGAGTAGTGGAGTTGACAATAGCTTTGCACCATGTATTCGACACACCTGAAGATAAAATCATATGGGATGTTGGGCATCAGGTGAGAGAGCCGACTGTTAGTGTATGTGAACAGCATGAAGAGTGTTGTGAATAGCATGAAGAGTGTTCATCAGAGAGCAAAGCTGAAAGTGTGAAATGCATGGGGAATGTTAGTGTATAGAATGTTAGTATAAAGTTAGTTGTAACTAAAGTTGTTAAGAATTTGTTAAGTGTTGTTACTAGTTAGTTAAGGGAAGTTGTTAACCAGCTGTTATAGTTAATCAGCTGATATAAATGAGCTACCAAGCCTCCAATCATGTAAGTAAGATTCATGAAATGAAATGCAGAGTATTCTTCTATTTTCTCTTCTGTTTCTACTATACTTAGTAGCTAGGTTTATAACATAACATGGTATCATTCGCCGAAGATCCTGAAGCCTGCTTCCGTCACAATTATAATATGCCTTTAGTTTTCTTTGCAAAGAAAAATAACAGAAATGTTAGCAGTTTTCGAGAAATCGATTACCAATACCCCCGATGCTCTTAATGTTCCCGGAGACTTTGGAGCAGATTCAGCACTCAATAATGGCTTCTTGGCTGCCCATTTCGCCTCTATTCATCCTGGCTCCGTCACTATCAATCTTGGTTCTTCGGGTTTCATGGCCTACTCTCTCGAAAAGAAAAACCCACTTCTCCCCAGAATCTTTGTTGTTGTGTATGAAATCTTCTGCTTGTTTCAAGGCCACATCGAGAATGTTGTTGTTCTTAAGCAACAATATGGTTTGAACAAGACTGCAAACGAGGGAATCATCGTCATTGAAGCTTACCGAATACTCCGAGACAGAGGTCCTTACCCTCATGATCAGGTTGTAAGAGATATCCAAGGGAAGTTTGCTTTCGTTATCTACTATAGCTTTTCAAAAGCCACATTTATAGCTTCAGATGCCGATGGAAGTGTACATTTCTTCTGGGGAACTGACGTTGAAGGCCATCTTGTTCTTGCGGATGATACGGAGACCGTCAAGAAAGTTTGCGGGAAGTCTTTTGCTCCATTCCCGAAAGGGTGCTTTTTCACATCCCCCGGAGGGTTAAGGAGCTACGAGCATCCTCTGAACGAGTTGAAGCTGGTGCCAAGGGTGGACAGTTCAGGTCATGTCTGTGGTGCAACTTTCAGCGTCGATGTAGAGGCGAATAAGGAATCTACTGACATGGAAAAAAGTAGGAAGTGCTGCAGATTGGTCTGCAAACTACTGAGCATTGAAACTTCTCCTGCTCGGCACAATGCTTGCTATTGGTAGTTGGAACTTGAAGCTTAACAACCAAGTGTCCATAGTAGAAAATATCTGGGGAGAGTCAAGAGTTTATCAGCCTTGTTCTCCTTAACCAGACAAAATAGGGTGTTTTCTTGCCCAATAGAGGCTTCAGATTACACTCGGGAGCTCGTAGCTTAACCGTATTGCTTCCAACAAAAACATTGTCCGAATAAGTGAAGAATAATGACATGGGGAATGTTAGTGTATGTGAACAACATGAAGAGTGTTGTGAATAACATGAAGAGTGTTCATCAGAGAGCAAAGCTGAAAGTGTGAACTGCATGGGGAATGTTAGTATAAAGTTAGTTGTAACTAAAGTTGTTAAGAATTTGTTAAGTGTTGTTACTAGTTAGTTAAAGGAAGTTGTTGACCAGGTGTTATAGTTAATCAGCTGATATAAATGAGCTACCAAGCCTCCAATCATGTAAGTAAGATTCATGAAATGAAATGCAGAGTATTCTTCTATTTTCTCTTATGTTTCTACTATACTTAGTAGCTAGGTTTATATCATAACACCGACTTGGTTTTGTTTCTTTTCATATGGAAGTTCATATTATAAATTGCATCTTTCAAAAATTTGCAGGCGTACCCTCAAAATCCTCACAGGAAGAAGGTCGAGGATGCATACCATAAGAAAAACTTCAGGACTAGCACGGTTTCCTAAGAGGGATGAGAATGTTTATGATTCCTTTGGTGTTGGACATAGTTCTACCAGCATATCAGCTGGACTTGGTATTTGCTTCTCTCTGTAAAAACCATGTGTGAAATGTGAAATATTTAATGACTGAGTTTCTTGCTGTTAATGTAGGCATGGCAGTGGGAAGAGACCTTCTGAAGAAGAACAACAATGTGATTTCAGTGATTGGAGATGGGGCAATGACCGCTGGACTTGCATATGAGGCCATGAACAATGCAGGGTTCCTTGATTGGAACCTGATCGTCGTATTGAACGACAATAAGCAAGTGTCGCTACCGACTGCAACTCTACAAGGTCCTGCTACTCCTATTGGAGGTCTTAGTAGGGCTTTAACCAAGATTCAAGCACGCGCAGAGTTCCGAAAACTTCGGGAAACTGCAAAAGTAAATTTCTCTAAGCTTTTTTATCATTTGGCTTACCTCCCTAGTTATTCATGGTTTAACTTTGACTGTGGATACTACTTGTTTTTGAAGGGCATTACTATGCAAATTGGTGGTCAAGCACATGAAATTGCAGCAAAAGTAGATGAGTATGCAAGAGGAATGGTCGGTGCTTCTGGCTCCACTCTCTTTGAGGAACTCGGGCTGTATTACATCGGTCCGGTTGATGGACATAATATTGAAGATTTAGTAGCTATGTTTAAGAAAGTAAAAGCAATGCCTGCCCCGGGACCGGTACTAATCCACATCGTAACAAAGGGCTATCCCCTTTTACCCATGGTGATGTTACGGATTTTTAAAATGATCATTGTTCTATCTGCTCCTAGGTGTTGTAAGAATTGACACAGAAACAGGCAAGCAGTTTAAGTCCAAATCCTCTACACTGTCGTATACGCAGTACTTTGCTGAATCGCTCATCAAAGAAGCTGAAGCTGACGACAAAATTGTAGCCAACCATGCAGCAATGGGTGGGGGAACAGGTCTCAATTACTTCCAGGAAAGGTTCCCAGATTGCTGCTTCGATGTGGGGATTGCAGAGCAACATGCAGTTACTTTTGCAGCCGGTTTAGCCACCGAGGGGCTCAAGCCATTCCGTGCTATCTACTCATCGTTCTTGCAACGAGGATACGATCAGGTGTGCTCTAAAAAATGGACATACTACATCGTATATGATCATATTTCCTTCACTTTTTTCCCGGATTGACACTTCTGTTGGAAAATTTTACTCCTGTGACAGGTGTTGCATAATGTTGATCTTCAGAAATTACCCGTACGGTTCGCGATGGATCGAGCCTCGTAACCTCGTCCGTCGTCGCCGAGAAGAGACATTATTGTTTTGGTGGCGAGAGAAAGATCGCGGGTTTTTAGATTTTGGATACCGTTATGGGTCTAAGAGTCGAGATATTGGGTTGACAAATTTTTTTCTTCGTATTGTTGGGAAAATTTTGGGCTTACTCGGTCTGGTTTAAATATTAATTTTGTTTTTCTTTTCCTATTAAAAGATATAAGTGAACACTTGAATCAAAGAATGTAACATTATCTTTAATAATGATATTATCAAATGTAAAATTATTTGATATATGAAATTAATAAAAATATTATATAATTTTAAAGATATAACCATTTATTTAAAATCTGGTATATGAATTTGATTCCGTATCTTATAATTATGTTCAAAACATTATATGCTTAGGTAAATGTACTGAATTGATAAAAATTCAATAATATGTAGTATCTTGGCATAATGAAATCTTGAAATTTTTGGTATGTTCATTATTTTGGTAAATTATTCTACTAATATGGATATTTTATGATTGTCTAATCTTAAATATGGTTATCTGATCTTATAATTTTATGATTTTAATTTTAAAATTTATTTTAGGGGTCACTCATTCGTTAATTGTGTAATGATAGAATCGAAACATTACGTTTTGAGTATTTTATTTATAAAATTAACCTAATGTTTTAACATTCTTCTTTTTCATGGTTAAAACCCTTTTCTATCATCTATTTACTATTGTTGGTCATCGGATGTAATTGCTCCCAAAACATTTTGTTCTATTCACTCTTTATTTTCCTCAGTTTAATTTTCCTTAAAATCGACAAAACTTAAATGAAAGCTTTGACCTTTTCTTGTTCCAATTTTGCAATTTTCATTGTCTGAGCAATATTGAATCTGTATATATTATTTTTCTCCTCATTCTTAACCTATCCACTTGGATTTGAGGGGAGGGGGGGGGGAGCTGGGGATACTTTACTGCATGTGAATAAAAAAGAGTCTAAAAATCTAGGATTGGGAGGAAAATGTAAAGAGATTTGCATAAATTTACCAAAAAAAATCAAACGAAGTTAATACTTAACAATAACCAAATAACAAAACCAAAATAAAATTCATAAGTTCAGTGACATAAAGAAATTAAAATGGAATAACCAAAACAAAAACTATCCTTATTTTGCTATACTCCATGATTATATTTTTCTCCTTTCGGTTTATTAGTTTGAAATTGATGGTGATGCTTTCAAGTTCAAGATTTCATGGTGATGCTTTCGGTTTATTAGTTATATGAGTGTGGCTGATTCATCCATGCATGCAATTTTGTTTATTTTGTCGGTTCTTTTTTCGTGTTCAATTCGCATTAGTTAAATTATTCTTTCTCTAAATTTCTTTAAATTCCTTTTTTTCTTTCTCTAAACTACTCTTCTTTAAAGCATGATCTTGCTTTCAGCTAATGTCTTGGGAAGTTACTCATTGTTTGGGTGGTCGGAGATCGGACCATCTATTATTGCTTGGTAACGGTGGTCACTATTTGGACAGTCCGAGAGCTTGCAAGAGAAATTGATCCTATGTTCAATTCTTGAAACTATTTTTTTCTGGAAAGAATCGAGCTGCGGGATCTCTTCCATGGTTCGAGTTTTAGCTTTCCTTTCGAGCTACTTAACTGGTGAGGCCTGACACTTTCAAGTTTTGGACATGATGATTAATTAAATAATTTTCTCATTATTGATGTTATTCAAATGATTTACCCTTAAGAAATTAAAAAGAAAGAAGTAGTTGTATAAATATAGGAGGGATTACCAAAACATGATGAATAATTTAAGCTGGTTGTTAAATTTGCTCTGGTGTTCCTAAGAATAACCAAATTCCAAAAATATGGAAACCAGTTTTCATTTTTATCTTTTCTACAATTATTTGGCTATAAACCAATTTACCTAAAGACTGGGACTGGAAACCCCCCGCCCCCGAAAAATTTTTTTGGGAGGATTTTCCTGTTTCTTAATCATCCAACAACTTATCAAGTTTAAGGTTGAAGAGGAATTTAAATGGAGAAATACAGAATTTTTTTTGTTTCTTCTGAATTCTTGATTACAAAAATTTAAATAGCGATCTCGAACTTAACGTTACAAATCGCTATTTTAATTTCGATTATTTTCGTCATTGACAATCACTTTAACACGACTTGGGTTATAATGGTTGTGATAGGTATTTCATGATTATTTCTCCAGGTTTTTCTTTTTTTAAAATTTTTTTCTTCATGTTTTTGTGCAATGGGGTTGTTTTATTTCTTGTTCTGGATACAAAGATGTGGATTTGGATTGGTGAAATGGTGATATGTTATACATTTCATGCAGATACAAGAATAGAGATGGTAGAAGAGATAGAGCCAGAAACGGAATCAAAATCCGAGGTTCTTACGAGCAGTAAATCATTAGATGGAAATAACGATCCACCGTTGAGAAGGGAATCGGAGTTGCCCGTCCGGGTAACGTATTCCGATATCAGCGGGCTTTGGACCAGCAATTCTGCCTACTATCCTCATAAGCTGCCTCCTGTCTTCCCGAAATGGAACCGAGATTCTTATTCTACGCAGTGGAAGAGTGTGATTGAAAACATCAAGAAGAAATCAGCGAAAGGTTTCTCTATTATCCCTTCGCTCACAAATAATTACGATATTTCGAGAAAGAAGTGGAGGAAATTGTCCAAACTTTATTGCCCCGAGGCTGGTATTGTCGATAAGCCATTGTGGAAGACTTTTTCTTACTCCGACCTTGCTGTTGCTACAGATAATTTCAGCCCTGGTAAAAAAAACCCTAGAATAATCTACTTGTCAATCTTCTTCTTTTTATGGTAGTTTAGTTTATGATTTATGATAATGATTTCAAAGTATGATTGTAACTGTTCATCAAAATCTTGCAGAGAATTTGCTTGGAAGAGGGGGAAATGCGGAAGTATACAAAGGGCACTTAACTGATGGTCAAGTTGTAGCAGTGAAGAAGCTAACAAAGAATGAGAAAGAAGAAGAAGATAGAGCCAATGATTTCTTGTTAGAACTCGGGATCGTTGCTCACATCAATCACCCAAATGCAGCTCGCTTGATCGGATTCGGTGTTGATGGAGGCTTGCACTTAGTCCTTCAGTTTGCCCCTCATGGCAGCCTTGCTTCTGTGCTTTTTGGTACTCTACTATGCCTGTTGCTCTCATCCACTGGGAAAAAAAAGCCAAGTATTGGATCTAAATGGCTTAGAATTATATTCTAAAATGCAGGTTCAGATGAATGTCTAGATTGGAAGACAAGGTATAAAGTGGCCACCGGGATAGCAGAGGGGCTGAAATATCTCCATCATGACTGTCCGAAGCGCATTATACACCGAGACATCACTGCCTCCAACATATTGCTCACCGAAGATTATGAAGCTCATGTGCGTGATCTCCATGTACCTATGTCACCCGGATCCAATATGAATGTATCTAACACGGATATGCTGATTTCTTCTTCTCATTGCAGATCTCGGATTTCGGTCTGGCAAAGTGGCTACCAGAGAATTGGCATCAACATGTTGTCCATCCCATCGAAGGAACATTCGGGTTAGGCATGCAGCTTCTTTTGACATCTTCACTTGATATGTTATTATCGTTACTCATTTGGTAAGGTCAATAACATTGGGGCTAATGTGTATGAAAATTGCCTACAGATATTTAGCTCCAGAGTATTTCATGCATGGAATAGTTGACGAAAAGACCGATGTATTTGCATTCGGAGTTCTACTACTGGAGATATTAACAGGCCGCCGTGCAGTTGATTCGTCCCGACGAAGCCTCGTGATTTGGGTACACCTTCTACACCAAAAGCAATCCAACATTTTTTTAATATAACCCAGAAAGATCTGAAGTCTATTTCCGATGCAGGGAAAACCTCTTCTGGAGAAAAATAAAGTGAAGGAATTGATAGATCCTCGACTCGAAGACAATTACGATCAAACCGAAGTGAAACGTGCAATGTTGACAGCTTTCTTGTGTATAAACCACTTGGCCAAACTACGTCCAAGCATGAGTAGGGTAAGCACACGAAAAGCAATTTCGAAACCACCTCCATTTTCAGTCAATCCTTTCGATGAACTAAAACATTTGTCGCGATTTATCAGGTCGTAGAGTTGCTTAAGAACGAAGATGGTCCGGTAGAGTGGCAACAGAAGGGCTGGGGAGGGAAAGCAGTGATAGTAGACGGTTGTGATTTGAAAGATTATAATCGAGCCAGCTATCTAAATGACCTGGACCGGCATATGCAGCTGGTTTTGGAATAATGGGTTGTGTGAAAATTGGAACAAATCAATCAAATGAATTTTCATAGTGTTTTCTTCTTAAGGTAAATTTTGAGCTCCTTTGTTGTTTCGTTTAGCCAGAGGGGGTGCCATTGAAACACTCTGAAGATGATTGGGAAACCGGCGTTAATGCCCACGATTAAAGGGCAAAATTAGAGATCAGATGTCATTTGTATAATATTGTACTGAAATGTACAAAAAATGGGAAAAATTGTTATTATTTTTCATTTTTTTTATGCTTTTCAGAATTCATAAATAGATATATATTGCAGTTTGCACCGATTAAATTCATTCACATACATGTATAAAGACTTAAAAGACCATTACATAATTACATTTATAAAAAACTAATTTAATAGATTGTTAATGTTTTTTCCTTTATAACTGAAAACAATATTATGTCATGAACTATTTTTAAAATCATTTTTAACAAATTTATCGTAAATTATTATTAAAGTTAAATATTTTTTTCCCTTTCATGATGGAAAATCGAGAACTTCAAAACTATTCTCCCAGCAACTGTTGTGAACCATATTATGTATATTAAACCCCAATCAAACTGTGAAAACTCTTGAGGACCAAAGCATGAATTTAGTGTTGAGTATGTTGGATCATAAACTTGATCTATTATAGGAGCCTAAGCCCAAACTCAAACTAAATTGATGTCATTGCTTATATCAATTAGATGAAGATATCATTGCTTACATCAATTTAGTTAGGTGAGAGTTAGGTATTTGTAGACTTTAATGGTTTAAATTATTTTATTTGTGTGGTGTAGGATTGTTCTTAAGTAGTATAAATACCCCTCCCCATTGTAGTTTAAGAATTAAGAAAAATTAAGAGCTTCTAAGTGAGTGAAGAAGCAAAGTCTTATAAGAGTGAGTTGTAGTTCTTGTTTTTGAGTGAGAGTGCTCTTGTAATATTTGTTTGAGTTTCAATAAAAGTTGTTTGTGTGAGTGTTTCATTTCCAATAAAGTGGCATCAGAGCGAGTTGGAAAGATCGAAGGTCTTGACGAGAGAAATCCGACGTCGCCAGAATTTTCTCAATCTGAGTTTTGACGCACCGCCGGATGACTGCTGCCAGAAAATCGAGTTGACTTACTGAGTTGAGCCGAGTTAGCCGAGTTGGAGCCCCTTGACCGAGTTGTCCAAGTCCCTCCCAAGGTTTTTTTGGCGTTCCAGATTTATCCGTGCAATCGGATTTTACAAATTCTCATTTATTGAGAGATATGACAAATGGTATGGCACCATTCCAAGTTCCGACACTCAACAACAATAACTACGACAATTGGAGTTTCAAAATGAAGGCACTTCTTGGATCACAAGATGTGTGGGATATCATAGAGAAAGGCTATAACGAGCCTGCAGATGATGATGTTTTTGCTACTCTTACACCGGATCAAAAGACAACTTTGAAGGATTCAAGACAGAGAGACAAGAAGGCTCTCTACCTCATCTATCAAGCATTAGATGATGATGGTTTTGAAAAGATTTCAAGTGCAAGCTCTAGCAAGGAAGCGTGGGAGAAGCTGCAAACCTCTTACAAAGGATCTGAGCAAGTGAAGAAGGTTCGTCTCCAAACATTAAGAGGTGAATTTGAATCCTTACACATGAAAGTATTTGAGTCTATTTCAGATTATTTCTCAAGAATAGTAGATGTTTCTAATCAATTAAAAAGAAATGGTGAAAAGTTAGAAGATGTGAGGATAATAGAGAAGATACTCCATTCGTTGGATCCTAAATTTGAGCACATAGTCGTGACGATTGAAGAAACTAAGGACTTGGAAGAAATGACGATCGAGTAACTCCAAGGATTATTACAAGCATACGAAGAGAAGCATAAGAAGAAGCATGAGTTTATTGAGCAACTCCTCAAGTTGAAACTCAAGGATATGCATGAAAGCCAACGCAATGATAGAAACCAACGTGGCCAAGGCAGAGGTAGAGGCCATGGATGAGGTGGAAGTCGAGGTCGTGGACGAGGTTGGAATTATAATAACAACAATTCCAACAAAAACTATGAGAAAGGGGAAAGCTCAACATGAGGCCGTGGAAGAATCAATCCGAAGTCAAGGCATGAAAATCTCAAGTTCGATGTTATAATTGTCAGAAGTTTGGGCATTATGCTTCATAATGTAGAGCTCCCAACAACAAAATTGAGGAGAATGCCAACTATGTGGAGGAAAAGAAAGATGGCAAAGAAACTCTTCTTCTAGCACGAAAGGAAACTGATGGTGGCCAAGCAAATTCGACAGTGGTGCAAGCAATCACATGTGTGGAAGGAAAGACATGTTCGTGGAGCTAGACGAGTCAGTAAGCGGAACTATTTCATTTGGAGATGATTCCACAATAGCAGTGAAAGGGAGAGGTAACATCCTTATCCGTTTGAAAGATGGAAGACATCAATTTATTTCAAATGTCTACTATGTGCCCAATATGAAAAGAAACATATTAAGTTTAGGGCAACTGGTAGAGAAAGGTTATGATATTCATATGAATAATTATAATCTTTCTATAAAAGATTATAAGAATAACTTTATTGCTAAAGTGCCGATGTCAAAGAATAGAATGTTCTTGATCAACATACAAAATGATGTTGCAAAGTGCCTGAAAGCTTGATACAAAGATGCATCATGGCTTTGGCATCTTCGATTTGGGCATCTCAATTTTGGAGGTCTAGAGCTGTTATCTAAGAAGGAGATGGTGAAGGGACTACCTCGCATCAACCATCATGACCAGCTTTGTGAAGGGTGTCTAGTCGGGAAACAATTCAGGAAAAGCTTTTTAAAGGAGTCAGAGACAAGAGCCAAGAAGCCATTGGAGCTCATCCATACCGATGTGTGTGGACCGATCAAGCCGAGCTCTCTCGGTAACAGTAACTATTTTCTTCACTTCATTGATGATTTTTCAAGAAAAACCTGGGCATATTTCTTGAAACAGAAGTCAGAAGTTTTCGAAGTCTTCAAGAAGTTCAAAGTAACAGTGGAAAGAGAAAGCGGTAGAAAGATCAAAGCCATGAGATCCGACCGAGGTGGAGAATTTACTTCCAGGGAGTTTCAAGAGTTTTGTGAAGCAAATGGAATTCGTCGACCAATGACAGTTCCTAGATCCCCCCAGTAAAATGGTGTGGCAGAAAGAAAGAATAGAACAATCCTCGACATGGCACTAAAAGCATGCTCAAAAGCAAGAAACTACCCAAGGAATTTTGGGACGAAACAGTATCATGTGCAGTCTACTTGTCAAACCGGTCTCCAACAAGAAGTGTATGGGGAAAGACATCGCAAGAGGCATAGAGTGGAAGAAAGCCTGACATTTCCCACTTGAGAACCTTTGGAAGTATAGCCCATGTTCACGTACCAGACGAGAGAAAAACGAAGCTTGATGATAAAAGTGAGAGTTTTATCTTCATCGGCTATGATTCTAATTCGAAGGGCTACAAGCTGTACAATCCAGACAATAAGAAGATTGTGATTAGTCGAGATGTGGTCTTTAACGAAGAAAGAGAATGGGATTTTAACTCTCATGCAGATGACTTCAATTTCTTTCCTTAGTTTGAAGAAGATGAGCAGACAATGAAGGAACAACTAGGTGAACCTCAACAAGAGCTTGAAACTCCACCCACTTCACCAATATCAACCACTCAAGGAGACTCATCATCTTTGTTATCATCAAGTGGGAGTCAAAGTGAAAGAGTTGTGCAACGCACAAGAAGCCTTAGAGATCTCTATGAGGTAACTGAACGACAAGATAATCTTACATTATTTTGTTTGTTTGCCGATTGTGAACCAGTGAGCTTTCAAGAAGTGGTACAAGAAAAGAAATGGAGAGATGCGATGGACGAAGAAATCAAGGCCATCAAGAAGAATGACACATGTGAACTTACTTCACTTCCCAATGGACATAAGGAGATATGTGTCAAATGGGTGTATAAAACAAAGCAAAACGCCAAAGGAGAGATTGAAAGGCACAAGGCGATGCTAGTTGCTAAAGGCTATAGTCAAAAAGCTGGAATTGACTATGATGAGGTATTTACTCCTGTTGCTCGATTGGGGACTATTAGACTAATCATTTCTTTGGCAGCTCAAAACATGTGGAAGATACAACAGATGGATGTAAAGTCTGCCTTCTTAAATAGAGTTCTTAAAGTGGAAGTTTACATTCAATAACCATCAGGCTACGAAGTCAAAGGGAACGAAGACAAGGTGTTGAAGTTGAAGAAGGCTCTTTACGGGCTAAAACAAGCACCAAGAGCATGGAATAGTCGAATCGACAAGTAATTCCAAGAGAATGTCTTCAATAAATGTCCCTACGAGCACACTCTATACATCAAGATTAAATATGGAGATATTTTGATCGTGTGCCTCTACGTGGATGATTTGATCTTCACCGGAAGCAACCCAAACATGTTTAATGAACTCAAGGATGTGATGATGAAGGAATTCGAGATGACAGACATGGGGCTCATGGCGTACTACCTTGGCATTGAAGTTAAGCAACAAAATGATGGAATTTTTATTTCACAGGAAAGCTTTGCAAAAGAGATACTGAAGAAGTTCAAGATGGAGAATTGTAAGCAAATAAGCACACCGATAGAATACGGGATCAAGATGTCCAAACATGAAGAAGGCAAAAGTGTAGATCCAACATTCTTCAAAAGTTTGGTGGGAAGTCTACGCTATCTAATTTACACGAGGCCCAATATTCTTCACGCAGTTGGATTGATTAGTCGCTACATGGAATCTCCAACAACCACCCATTTTAAAGCTGCAAAGAGAGTTCTTCACTATCTGAAAGGTCAATTGACTTCGACTTGTTCTATTCAGTTTCTAATGATTACAAGCTTGTTGGATATAGCTACAGTGATTGGGGTGGAGACATAGATAATCGAAGGAGCACTACTGGATTCGTATTTTCATGGGAGATACTGCTTTCACATGGATGTCAAAGAAACAACCGATTGTCACATTGTCCACTTGTGAAGTGGAATATGTTGCTGCTACCTCATGCGTTTGTCATGCAATTTGGCTTAGAAATCTATTGAATGAGATAGGTTTGATACAAGAAGAGCCTACCAAGGTTTGTGTCGACAACAAGTCAGCCATTGCCTTAGCAAAGAATCCAGTATTCCATGATCGAAGTAAACACATTGATATTCGCTACCACTATATAAGGGAGTGTGTTACAAGAAAGGATGTGGAAGTTGAATACATAAAGTCACAAGATCAAGTTGCCGATATTTTTACCAAGCCACTGACAAGCGAAGACTTCATAAGATTAAGGAACTTACTAGGGGTCACAAGATCAAGTTTAAGGGGGGTGTTGGATCATAAACTTGATCCATTATGGGATCCTAAGCCCAAACCCAAACTAAATTGATGTCATTGCTTACATCAATTAGATGAAGATGTCATTGCTTACATCAATTTAGTTAGGTGAGAGTTAGGTATTTGTAGACTTTAATGGTTTAAATTATTTTATTTGTGTGGTGTAGGATTGTTCTTAAGTAGCATAAATACCCCTCCCCATTGTAGTTTAAGGATCAAGAAAAATTAAGAGCTTCTAAGTGAGTGAAGAAGCAAAGTCTTATAAGAGTGAGTTGTAGTTCTTGTTTTTGAGTGAGAGTGCTCTTGTAATATTTGTTTGAGTTTCAATAAAAGTTGTTTGTGTGAGTGTTTCATTTCCAACAGAGTCAGCCTATAAAATCTTGGTCAGTATATCTCCTGGCTAAGTTGTGATCTAAAATGGAACATCATCTGGACACTGCAAGCACCTCATCGACGACTTATGACAAATTTCGAAAGATGTAGACGCAATCTCTCCAATGACCCTTCTTGCCATCTTTGTGGAGATAGTCAAGAAACAATCTTACATGTTTTACGAGATTGTTCTATTGTGCTACAACTTTGGCTACGGATCTACAATCAAGGCATGTTGTTTTCAACCTCGACTTGGACAACTGGATTTTTGCTAACATAAAGTCTAGAGGCCAACAATATCATAATACTCAAGCTCCTTGGCATCTCACTTTCTCTTCTATTGTTTGGAAGATTTGGAAGAGAAGAAATGGCTCTTGGGTGTTGGGTTTCAGCAGATTTCTTGGCCACACAAATGTCCTTCAAGCTGAGTTATGAAGTGTTATGATTTGCTTGCAGAAAGCTTGGGCTAGAGGCATTCGAAAGTTGCAGATTCAATCACTCTCTCCATGTTGTCAAAATTATTATTGACGCTGACGCATCAACATATCATTTGTTGCTCGTTTGAGAATTTGACAGGATTCGTGCATATGACTGGGAAACTTGCATTCAGTAGGTTTCAAGAGAGGCAAACTATGTGGCAGATGCAATGCCAAAACGGGCTGATAGACAGGTTTTTCAACGACACTGTATGAAACTCCTCCTCTACCCGTGCTACCTCGATCACTCCATATATTCATGATCCTCCTCATCATATGGAATATGATTCCAATATCAATAGAATTAAAACATGTCAACAATTTTTTCTTAATCATTATAAAATTAAAATTATTTATTTATTTCTATATTAAAATTAAATCTTCCTCTTCTTCAACTTCTTAACTCTTTCTCGTAGTTGATGAAAAATGATGCTTTCCTATGCCTTGATGAAAAAGGACACTTTCCTGCTCATCGCCATCAACTCCTTCGGATGTGTTATGGAAACTACATACATAGCTTTGTTCATAGTTTATGCAACCAAGAGTAGCAGGGCACTTAATCAAGTCATATCATCAGATTCACTTTCTAAACTGTTTCTTTTTCTTCAATGGTTGATTCTGAATTTAAAATTACAGACATTTGGTATAAAACTTTTTGTTGTTGTGAACGTTGGATTGTTCTGATTGATTTTGATTCATATCATCATATTCACTTTTTAAACTCTTCTTCTTTTTCCCTTGGTGTTCCTTTGTCAACCTGAGCAGCGAGCTTTATCTCCAACGATGGTCACGGTGATTTTGGTTAACGACTGGAGAGAGTCAAAAGGTTTAAAAAGAGAGATTTAATTTTAATATGAAAATAAATAATTAATTAAAAATTTAATCTAAATTAATGATAATTAAAAATTATTACTATATTTTAATTTTATTGGTTGTGACCATATCTTATATGATGAGAAGAGTATAAAATAATTTCTCATTTTCTTACCTAGTTTGCTTACTTGTTTAAATTATTTGATCCTCTTTTAGCTACAACCAAAGTTATATTTAACGGGTCAGGTACCCGATCTGCTAATTTTTTTGGGTTTTCAGATCGTGCCCAGATCACAAGATATTACTTAATAGGGTATCCGCCAACCTGGCACCTAATTTATCATTATATTTATTTTTATTTTATATTAATTTTTATTTATAATTTTCAAATTATTTCAGTCTTAATTTCTTAAATTTTATCGTCATAACATTTTAAATTCTTAATTTCTTAAATTGTTTTACGTTAACATTCTAAATTATTTTTTAAAATATTTATTTTAACTTTATTTTAACTTTAAAACATTTGAAATTTCATTATTAACCGGAGTAAAACTCATTACTGCTTCAGCATCCACTGTTCCTTCTTCCTGGATTATTGTAACAGGATAACCAAGGCTGTTTAAGTCTCCCGTTTATGGACCAAGGTTACCTAACAATGCCTCTTTATAGGTTTTCTTTGCCGAATTCACTTGTACAGCCTCAGTTGAACGACTTTGAAACACCGTACCAGTTCTGACACCTGGTCTCCCTTAATTCTGGTGAGGGTCGGCCACCCTTTGAAGACCTTGAGAATTGGCATTAGGTTTTGAGTATTTTGCACGGGAAACCCTAATGGTCCTACCATCCACTAGAGCTTTTGATGAATAAAGTCCAATCCTCTTGCTTATTGGCGATACCTGCATCCACTCTTGTACATGCCACCGAGGAGCCAGACGCATTCTCCGATGATAACGCCGCCCATATATAGCAGCAAACAAAATACAATTTCATACTGGCATGCATGCTCTCAAGCTCAAATACACACACGCCCATATATATAATATCGACCATATTTTATAAAATATTTGACCATCAACAAGGTAGAAAATGCGATACTTATCCTTGATTTAAGACAAGAAAACTAAGTTATAGGCCTGCTAAAGTCTTTCATGCTCAATAAAGAAATCAAATGAAATGAACACAATTGAATGCATTAACTTGTTTTAGGGCATTCAGATTCCAGAGTGTACCGCTTCAAGAGGTAAAAATGAAAAACATAAGATATCTACAAACAAAAAGCTGCCCCTTCAACTTATATCAGCTTTTAAAAGTTCCATTTTGGCTGGGTAATAATATTGATAATTCTGCAACCATAGTTCTTTAAATTAATAAATTTAATCAGTTAAAGAACCTTCTAACAAGTGAAGCAACAAAAGCATATGCGGTAAGAAAAGAAAAAGAGAAAGGTGATAGAATGAGGTCTGACTTTTACATCTCGATAGTGGACAAGAACAATGTGCGAGAGTTCCCTACACATTTAGTGAATAATGTCAGCAACCAAGAGGGATTTGTTAAATTAGTATTGCAACAGAGAAATCAGTGAAAATTGGTCTTACTCACCTCTCGTTTGCTGACGATTTGTTGATCTTTTGTAAAGGTAACATAGACTCTGTTGTTGGTGTGCTTACTATTCTTGACCAATTCTATGAAGTCTTTGGGCTTAAATTGAATCCGACCAAATGTGAGATTTTTGCTACGGGGATTTCTACAAGAACCATTGATAATTTAAAGATTATTACGGGGTTTCAGATCGGAAGTCTTCCTGTTCATTATCTTGGTATTCCGCTTGTCACTCGCAAACTTACTGAAAAGGATTGCCAAGCTTTAATTGATATGATCAAGCTAAAACTTCATCAATGGTCTAGCAGAAATCTCAGTTATGCAGGTCGATTAGAGCTCATTAGATCAGTCTTATTCAATGTTAGCAATTATTGGTGCAGACAACTTGTTCTGCCATCTTCTATTCTTAAAAAAATTGATCAAATTTGCTCTAGGTACTTCTGGAAAGGTGCAGATAAATCAGCTGCTGGTGCTCGTGTGAGTTGGGATAACATTTGTACTTCCAAATCAGAAGGTGGCCTCGGATTGAAGAACATTAAAACTTGGAATAGAGCTTGTCGCATTCTTCTAATCCGGAAAATATTAGCAGGAAACGGTTCCCTGTGGGTCGCTTGGCTCAACGCTTATGTTTTTAAGGATCGGGATTTTTGGAACTATCAAGCAGCAGCTAATTTAAGTTGGAGCATCAAACGGATCTTAAAAACAAGGACTGAAGCTCGTTCATTAATTTCTGCGGGTTCTGCGCAAGTTAAGGAAATTTGGGACTTGATTTATTGTAAATGGCAGATTGTTATATGACACAAACTCATTTGGTTTCCATTGCATATTCCAAAGTTTAGCTTGTTTGCTTGGATGGCTTTGCTCAAAAAATTGCCTACAAAAGGCCAACTTCTTAGAATGGGAATTAGCAACGACAATACTTGCGTTAACTGCAGCAATTCTTACGAGTCAAGAGACCATCTTTTTTCCCAATGTACACTGGCAGTGGATCTCTGGAACTTAATTCTGAAACTTAATGGGATGCAGTCCACTTTCTTACCATGGGATGAAATGGTAACAAAGGTTTGTTCCATATGGAAAGGAAGGTCTTTGCTAACTACTATCCTAAAAATTTCCTGGACTGCAACTATTTACATTTTGTGGAAAGAGCGAAATCAAAGAATTTTCCAAGGACGTAGTAGAACGATTGACTTCTTGCTAAAGGAGGTTAAAGACGTCGTTGGAATCCGTCTTAGGGGAACTAATATTAATAGACTAGATAGTATTAACTTAAAGCTTTGTAATGCTTGGGGTATAGGCTAACCGATCATTTTGTATAGGCTGTTTGTTTTTTTATGTTGATTGATTGATTGGTTGTATCTTAACTTTGTTTGGGTAATAAAATCAGAATTATCAAAAAAAAAAAAAGTAAAGACCACCAACTTACTCTAAACCTCACATTAACTTCATAATGAAAAAAGATTCCTAATAGAATTTTTTTATACAAGATAAGTGAAAACGGTTACATTTGCATTTTAATTTTGACCCAAGATCATTTATTTTCGACAAAGATTAACGCCCCTTGAGCTTAATCATTTTTCTTCTGCATAAAAGGATTCGAATGAAGGTATTTATTCCATCTTTCAAACCAAACCTCACAAAAGAAAAAATAAATTAAAACCCAACTCGTGAGCCAAAATATAAACAAAATGGAGCAAACTGAAGACCAATTGCAGTAAACTAAACCATGGGGGCAAAATAAGCAAGATTCAACTGAATGAAAGATGATAGAAGAGTCAATTGCATTCCATATGTACCCAGCTGATTAGTAAGGCCGTGGCGTCTAGTCTCATTTGCCATAATCTTGGGGTTTTTTTCCCCCTTCAACTTTTCACTTTTATCAAAAACGCTTCAATAAAAACTCATAAACCGAAGTTGGAGTCGTTTTAAAATAAAAATGGATGTCCCTTATTCCCATATATAATGGGGTAAGGGGGAGGTAAGATAGTAGGCTACCCCCAATACTAGGTTGAGAGCAGCTTTCCGTAGGAGACCTCCAAATTATGAAATGCCCTCCATGGGACTCGATCTCACGACCTCAAGGTTAAGAACCTTGTGCTCTATCAACTGAGCTGGATAGTCGTTTTATGATCCCATAAAAACAAAAACAAAAAAATGCGGTTTACAATTAAAAAAATCAAAGGGAACGCACCCTTCGCTATGTAAGTTTGATTTTTTCTTTTAAGAATATATATTCAAAGGGAAAGAGAGAGTAAATCGACAAGGAGATGATGGAAAGGGGATTATCGGTGAGGAATCAACGTTGAATGTTGGCAACAAAAAGGAAAAAACGTTAAATATAGGCAACAAATCTGTCATTATTTTAATAAGAATCTCTCACAACAAAAGGAGGAGAAATTATTTTATGTATACGGCTCACCTCATTATTCAGGTCCAATAATGACAACCATAATTTTTAAAACAACTTCCAAGTAATCACCACTCTTTTTATTTATATATAAGAAAAAGGTGAAGATTCACCTTAAATAAAATTGATGTAGACAGATATTATTGATTAAGACTACAGATGACGTGGTGAGTTAAGACTATCTAATGATTTCTCGAAAAGATATAGTAAATCCACTTTCTTCATGGGATTTCTAATAAGAAAAAGGTCATTCTTTTTCCTTTTTTGGTCGCATTTATTTCAAGGTAAACTACACAAATGACCACATAATTGTGGGTTGAGTCACGAAATGATCACCATTTTTAAATTTGCATCAATATGGCCATTGAACTATTTACATGGTTTCAATATAGCCATCTGTCGTTAACACATAACAGAAGTGTATACGTGATAGTTAACAAAATTGGTTTAATTAGGGCATGTGTCTTTACAAAGTTACGTATTTGCGGCATTGGAACCTTGCTTTGTTTTCTTCCATTTTGGTCACTTATTGTGTATGATTTGTTTACTTAGATTTTCATTTAATGCAATTTGATATTGATTTTGTTTTTAACTTGTCTAATGCCTTAATTTGAGTATTGACTTTAAAATCTTTTATTCTAGTCATATATTAAATTTATAGATTAAATCCCCTAGATTTTAGAATTAATCAATTTGATCACCAAGATTAACTTTAATTCTTAATTTTTAATTAGGTCCTAATTTTAATTTAATTTAATAAATTTATTTGTCCAATTGCGTTTTAACACCCCAACTTGGCTCCCAAGGGTAACTTGTATTTGCGGCATTGGAACCTTGCTTTGTTTTCTTCCATTTTGGTCACTTATTATGTATGATTTGTTTACTTAGATTTTCATTTAATGCAATTTGATATTGATTTTGTTTTTAACTTGTCTAATGCCTTAATTTGAGTATTGACTTTAAAATCTTTTATTCTAGTCATATATTAAATTTATAGATTAAATCCCCTAGATTTTAGAATTAATCAATTTGATCACCAAGATTAACTTTAATTCTTAATTTTTAATTAGGTCCTAATTTTAATTTAATTTAATAAATTTATTTGTCCAATTGCGTTTTAACACCCCAACTTGGCTCCCAAGGGTAACTTGTGCATGCCTTAACCACTGAGCTAATTCTCATGCTTGTTATTGAGATAATACATATGTTATATAACTTGTTCAAGTTTAGGCATAAAAAAATTAAAATAACTTAATTGGATTTGAACCCAAAATGATTTAGTAATAAAGCAAGCCTTAACCAATAAGATAAATCTAATATTTAGGAATCAATTATAATATTATAATATTATACATTATATATTATAGTTAACGATAAAAATATAAAAACATATAATTGAGAACTTACATCTAGGCCAATTGAGAATATGACGACATTTAAATCACCACAATAAATATAATAGTTTATTTATAATTGATTTAATATTTTAAATATTTTTAAACTAAATTTATTGTTTTCATATTTATTTTTTAATGATTATATATATGAAATCATTAAAAATAATTTAATATTCAAATTATATAATATATATTATAGTTAATGATAATATATATAAATATATTATAGTTAATATTCAAATTATAATCATAAGATTGTGACATGTGTTACAATTTGATTGGAGAAATAAATTTATTAAATTAAATTGAAATTAGGAACTAATTAAAAATTAAGAATTAAAGTTAATCTTGGTGATCAAATTAATTAATTCTAAAATCGAGGGGATTTAATCTAAAGATTTAATACATGACTAGAATAAAAGATTTTAAAGTTAGTACTCAAACTAAGGCATTAGACAAATGAAAAACAAAATAAGGATCAAATTTGATTAAATGAAAATCCAAGGAAACAAATCATATACAAGTAGTGACCAAAATAGAAGAAAATAAAGCAGGGTGACAGCACCACAAATACGTAACCCGCACCGTAATTATACCAATTTTTTAACTGCATAAACACCTCCATTAAATGTTAACGGCGTGTGGTTATTTTTAACTCATTTAAATAGTACAGTGGTCATATTGACGCAAATTTAAAAATGGTAATTATTTCACGACCTAATCCATAATTATGTGGTCATTTATGTAATTTATCCTTTATCTTATTACTATTTTACTTTAAAAAAACGTTTAATATAGGAACAAAACAAAAGAAAACGTTAAATATAGACAACAAAACAACAACAACAAAATCTATTTCTTTATTCATAGTTTCATCCAACTCAAGAAGTCTGGAAGCAACAACAAAAAAAAGGCAAAAAATTTGAAAACTAAACGCGACTATGGAGGTAGTGTATCAGGAAACAAATTCACACATTGGAAGTCATCTGCAATAACAAAGAAAAAATAGTGAGAAAGCCTATGAATTAATAAAACGAAATAATTATCAATAACTTACCTAAATGCACGAAGGAAAGATTAAGAATTTACCTGAATGCATTATCGTATCAGCATAATAGCGGTGAAGCAAAAAGGATGATGATCATGATCAGAAATAACAGTAGCAGCAGCCACTCCCACGTCATCCCGATGGTCCCGTAAATGAGTCGGTTAGGATCGGGGGCCTTTTGCCCTTCTTGAAAGACTTGTTCTTAGATTTAGGAACGAAACCTTTGTGAGCTATTATGAAGTGCTTTTTCGTAGAATTGTTTAAATGTGTGGAGAGTAACATTCCATTATATAGAGAAAGGATGAACAAATTAACTACCTATTTAACTGACTCATAACTGCTAATTACTTTGATCAACAGATTAACAGCCACAAATGGAGACCCCTTCTTGGGTGGAGAGGATTTTCACAATGCACGATTGGAGTACTTAGTGAGGGAGCTCAACAGAGCTGATAACATTGATCTCTCAAAGTACAAACTTGCCCTCTAGAGGCTTCGGGTGCATAGTATAAGTTCATCGCGACACCGTAAACCACAACATAAAATCATAATTATATTTAGGAAATAAATCACGTTGTAATGTCCGCAACACTTGCAACCGCGATACAAAGAGCACAACTGCAATTAGGGTATGTTTGTTTCATGTAAATCATTTTTCGAAAAACGTTTTTTTGTTTCTCAGTGTTTGGTTGGGGGAAAAATGGTTGGTCAACGTAGACGAAAAAAGAGAAAAAGAAATTAAAGATACAATAAATTTTACCTAAAAAAGAAACAATAAAAATTGAAAACTTTCCACTAGAGTTTTTATTTAAGAGAAAATAACCTCAGTGACAAAAAATGCCTTATAATATACGAATTTAACCAACTTTTTTTGGATTTGTCAAAATGACCAACAAATTCACAACGCGAATTCCAATTTCGCAACCCAGTTTCCAATTTCGCAACGCGAATATGTAAATCGCATTATGATTTTCCAAATTCGCGTTGCGATTTTCCAAATTCGCAACGCGATAGTCAAATTCTCAACGCGAAAGTCAAATTCGCAACTGAATTTCAAATTCGCAACGCGAATTTTATTTCACAACAGGTTTTAGTTTCGTAACACAAATGTTTTGGGTATATAACAACACAACAGCAACAACTCATAACATAAATCCCTAAATTGCAACTCATTCCATCTCCATCTATCACTCTCTCCGACGACATCCGTTCCTATATCCAACGACATCCTTCCCCATCTCTATTTTTTTTACATAATTTTATTTCTATATAATGTTTCAATGATTTTTCTCCCAAATTATCAACTATCAACTTAATAAAGGTATGTTTTTCTCTACGTTAGTGATGATATCTAGTTTATAGCTTGTTTGTTTAGTAAATTAATTTACAATTTTTAGAATGAAATCATCTAATGTTGATCATGTTTGGATATATTTGTGTTTTGGAGTGTCATGGGAGAATGTTCATGGTGTTTTACAATATGTGCCTTTACCCATGAATCTTCAACTAAAACTGTCATTAAAAAGTTAACTTATGAAACTCTAATGTTACGTGTTGCAAAGAAATTGAATTTAGAGCCTCTAAGTGGATTTAGGTTATCTTATCTGAGAAAAGGTAAAGTTTATTTGTTAACCGATAATGAAGATGTTGAACGATTCATTGCTTACATTAGTGTTTCGCAAGAAGATGATGTTACATTATATGTTGTTGAACCTAGAAGTAGTGAAGTTGGGTCAGTAGCGGGTAGTAATCAACTAAGTTCTTCAACCCAAAATTTAATGGTTCCACCACAATTTCATCACCAAGCAAATTTTGTTTCACCACATTTCCAATACCAAACACAATATCAAACACAATCTCAAAACCCACAACCTTTTCCTAATCCAAATCCCAATCAACTTTCAGTACCAAATTCCGGTTTTCATATTGACCAGTTAGACGATTATGAGCCAACAGAAAATATTGTGAGTACTAGTCAGTATTCGAAATTTGATCTTGGTTAATACCCGGACTTTAATCTTGGTCAATACTCGGATTTTGATGATGTGATAGAAGAAGAAACAGACCCTGCATGTAATAATTTTGATATTGGTCAAAATCTGAATTTTGATGATGAAACATCCACTACCGAGGAAAATGTTGTTGATGATAATGAGGAGGAAGTTACGACTGTGAATGAACATGTTGAACATCCATTATGTAATTCATATAACCCTGAAGAAGAAAAATAAGAAGAAAAAGAAGAAGAAGAAGTCCCTAAAGAAAGGAAAAAGAATAAAATGCCACATGAGTATAATTGGAATATACCAGAATTACTTCAGATACCGGAAGAAGAGTTGATAAAGATATCAGTTGATTGCTACACAAAAGTTATTCGTATCAAGAAAGATGATTGTTTTGATACAAATGAAGACTTGAAGATAGCTTTGTATACGAAATGTGTGGAAGATGGCTATCAACTAAGAGTTAACAAATCAAGCAAAGATCATTTCGAAACAAGGTGTATGATTGACAAAAACTGTACGTGGCGTATGATTGCTAAGAGGATAAAAGATTGCAAAATATTTCAAGTTAGGACTTTTATTGATAAACATACATGTTCAAGAACCCAAGTTTTTCCTCACCATAGACAGGCAAACAAAAAGGTGTTGGGTGGCTTTCTGGCTGAGTTAATGTTTTTGAATGGAACGGTATATCGGGGACATGAAATTATGACTGACATGAATGCTCGGTTCAAGATTAGTATCTCATATTCTCAAGCTTGGAGAGCCAAATGTTATGCCTTGGAATTGTTGAGGGGGTCGTCAGAAGCATCGTTTGCCCAATTGCCGGCTTATTGTCACAATTTAAAGCTGAAAAATCCTGGGTCGGTAACTCATATCAAAACAGATAGAGATGGACGCTTTGAGATGATGTTTATCGCCATTGGTGTTGCGGTTAGTAAATAATTATAATTTTGTTGACTCATTTTTGCTAGTTGCATGCATTTCACATTTAAATGATTATATTTCTTGTGTATATGATTTTGTAGATTCGTTCGTTTATTACTTGCATGCGCCCATTTATTATAGTTGATGGAGCACATTTGAAAGGTAGATACCTTGGAGTAAACTTATTAGCAATAGCCATGGATGCTAACAATGGGATACTACCAATAGCTTACGGGGTTGGCAAATCTGAAACTTCTTATTCATGTATATGGTTTATGGGGCATCTTAGAGATTGCATAGGTCCTATTAATAATCTGACAATCATATCCGATAGGGCAAACTCAATTGACAACGCTGTTAGAAGGTGTTTACCAGATGCTTTTCATGGACTTTGTGATGTTCATTTGTACAGAAATCTAAAATCAAGGTCTGCTGGTATAAAAAATCACAAATGGACATACTGGAAGACTATAAAAGCTTATCGGGAAGTGGATTTTAATAAGCATATAAATTGTTTAAGACGTGTTTTGCCTCAATGTGCTCAAACACTAGAAGATGTCGGGTTTGAAAGATGGTCAAGAGTACATCAACTTGGAGCAATATATGGTTCCATGACGTCTAATAGTGCAGAATCAATAAACGCTCTAAGTCGTCATTCCCGAAAATTACCCATTACTATGTTAATGGAGTTTTTTTGAGCCTCTATTCAACAGTGGTACTACAAGAAAAGAAACCATGCAAGTATTATTTCTTTAAATTCGTAACTTATCATATATTTTACTAAGTATTATTTATTTAAATTTACAGGAACATTGGAACGTCGTGTTACACCATAGACTGAAAAAAAGATAACGAAACGTGTTGTGAAGTCAACGTCCTGGAGAGTTGAACCATGTTCAAACACTTTGTTTGAAGTATTGAATAATAATTTAAATGGGCTTGTCGATCTAAATGCAAAGACGTGTAGTAGTAAGAAATGACAAACATCTGGTTATCCGTGTGGCCATGTTATAAAAGTTTCTCTTCATCTAAACCAAGATGATTTAAGCGCATACGCTATGGATTGCTACACTACAGAAGTATATCGACAGACTTATGTCGAGATTGTCTACCCATGTCCACATCCTTCTAAGTGGGACATACCAGATGACTTACAAACAGTTTTGCCACCAGTCATGGACAGCAGGCTACCTGGCCAACCAAAAAATCATGATCATATACCGTCTAAGGGTGAAGAGAAGAGGATATCGACATATAGTCGGTGCAAGGAGAGTGGTCATACAAGATTGACCTGTGGATCACCAGTGCCATCACAATCATCTTTTCCTCTACCAAAAAATGGATCCTCATCAAAATCCAAAGCTCATATGGTGCCAAGCAAAAGGAAATCAAAATCGCAATCAAAATCAAAATCCCAATCACAACCGGCTTCACCTTTTGGGACTTATTAACTTAGGTGATTTTTAAATGCAAACGTTGTATTATGTGTATTTTATGTGTGAATGCATGCATTTTCAGTTAGACATTCATTAGTAACTTGAGTTTGAACATTGATATGATCTGTTCAGTTGTTATCATGTTGGGATTTTCTCTTGTGTTTGATTGCTTGGATAGTTGTTCTCTTGCTTCTTCAAGTGTCCTTAGTTTGTATTTATAGCTTGGAATGTGTTTGATGTTTTATATACCTTGATGTTGTATGTTGCGATCAACGTGAAATTCAAATTCGCAACGTGAAATAAGCGTTGCGATAGTCAAATTCGCAACGCATCGCGTAGCGAATTTGACTATCGCGTAGAGAATTTGACTTTCGCGTAGCGAATTTGACTATTGCAACGCTTATTTCCTGTTGTGAATTTACCTTCAACAAGTCTTTTTTACCTTCAACATAATTCAGATTGAAAATTAAACAACAAATCAGTTAAACATTGTTGTGGGTACATTATTTGAACATTGTTATGGGTACATTATTTGGAAAAATAATGTTTCCGACTTCGTTAGAAATAACCCTTTTTCATCGGATTAATTTTGTTTTTGTGGGTACATTATTTGAACATTGTTATGTATAAATTTGTTGTGTATGTACGTTTTGGTTTGATTATATTGTATGTATATTTTCATTCAGATGAGATGGGCTATGTATAACAAAACAATCTATCTCTTCCATGTGAGTACTTTATTCCAACCATGTGACAAGTGTGACAACCCCATCAACTCACAACTCAGTTTTGAACTCAATCAATATTGTCTTTTAGAAAGCATGTTACTTGAATAGTATGAATCAATTATGCAATTTCCATGTTCAATTTAACACTGCATTTCAAATTCATTTCATATGTAATTGGAGTTTGAATTTAAATTTCAATTTGAGTTTAAATTTCAATATAAATTTCGGCTCCACTATAAATATTAGCCCAAGCCAATATGCATGTTATCATTGATTATTCCTAATTTCTATTGTTTTTTTCAACTTTAAACGCGAGGGAAATCCCGACCATCGTATTTTTTGGTCAACTTTAAAGCGTCAGAAATGTTTCGGGCGTATGATCTGGGTGGTATACGA